TACAGAGATGTATGCATATGTCAACAAGCAGATGAAATTAGTAGAAGTAGCTATGATTATGAGTGTCCACGAAATAGTGTTTTCGTTTTGAAAAAAAAAAAACCGCGCAAACGTGAACCTCACGAAAATATGTGATTGTACAGTATATAAAGAACATCATTATGATTAAGGGTCAATAATCACGTGTGTTAGACTGAGATTAAGTATTTACGATTATTTCTTGTTAGTTACTATCGATTTAACATCAAGTTTTAATTTAGGCCGAAAAGGATTTGTTTTATTCCAACAAAAAATTTCTGTGATCGTTGGGATCAATTCTCATTAAAATGGTATTTGCTCATATTATCTCTGTTGTCTCATGGTTAATGGAATATTGATTAAGACCATCTCTGTTGTCTCATGGTTAATGAAATATTGATTGAGACAATCTCTGTTGTCTCATGGTTAATGAAATATTAATTGAGACAATATCTGTTGTCTCATGGTTAATGAAATATTGATTGAGACAATATCTGTTGTCTCATGGTTAATGAAATATTGATTGAGACAATCTCTGTTGTCTCATGGTTAATGGAATATTGATTAAGACCATCTCTGTTGTCTCATGGTTAATGAAATATTGATTGAGACAATCTCTGTTGTCTCATGGTTAATGGAATATTAATTGAGACAATATCTGTTGTCTCATGGTTAATGAAATATTGATTGAGACAATGTCTGTTGTCTCATGGTTAATGAAATATTGATTGAGACAATCTCTGTTGTCTCATGGTTAATGGAATATTTATTGAGACAATATCTGTTGTCTCATGGTTAATGAAATATTGATTGAGACAATATCTGTTGTCTCATGGTTAATGGAATATTGATTGAGACAATCGTTGTTATTTGATGGTTGATAAAATATTGATTGAGACAATCTCTGTTGTCTCAGGGTTAATGGAATATTGATTGAGACAATCGTTGTTGTCTCATGGTTAATGAAATATTGATTGAGACAATCTCTGTTGTCTCATGGTTAATAAAATATTGATTGAGACAATCGTTGTTATTTGATGGTTGATAAAATATTGATTGAGACAATCTCTGTTGTCTCAGGGTTAATAAAATATTGATTGAGACAATGTCTGTTGTCTCATGGTTAATGAAATATTGATTGGGACAATCTCTGTTGTCTGATGGTTAATAAAATATTGATTGAGACAATCGTTGTTATTTTATGGTTAATAAAATATTGATTGAGACAATCGTTGTTGTCTCATGGTTAATAAAATATTGATTGAGACAATCGTTGTTGTCTCATGGTTAATGAAATATTGATTGAGACAATCTCTGTTGTCTGATGGTTAATGAAATATTGATTGAGACAATATCTGTTGTCTAAGGGTTAATAAAATATTGATTGAGACAATCGTTGTTATTTTATGGTTAATAAAATATTGATTGAGACAATCTCTGTTGTCTCAGGGTTAATAAAATATTGATTGAGACAATGTCTGTTGTCTCATGGTTAATAAAATATTGATTGAGACAATCTCTGTTGTCTCAGGGTTAATAAAATATTGATTGAGACAATGTCTGTTGTCTCATGGTTAATGAAATATTGATTGAGACAATCTCTGTTGTCTGATGGTTAATAAAATATTGATTGAGACAATCGTTGTTATTTTATGGTTAATAAAATATTGATTGAGACAATCGTTGTTGTCTCAGGGTTAATAAAATATTGATTGAGACAATCGTTGTTGTCTCATGGTTAATGAAATATTGATTGAGACAATCTCTGTTGTCTGATGGTTAATGAAATATTGATTGAGACAATATCTGTTGTCTAAGGGTTAATAAAATATTGATTGAGACAATCGTTGTTTTTTTATGGTTAATAAAATATTGATTGAGACAATCGTTGTTATTTTATGGTTAATAAAATATTGACTGAGACAATCTCTGTTGTCTCATGGTTAATAAAATATTGATTGAGACAATCTCTGTTGTCTCAGGGTTAATGGAATATTGATTGAGACAATATCTGTTGTCTCATGGTTAATGGAATATTGATTGAGACAATCGTTGTTTTTTGATGGTTGATAAAATATTGATTGAGACAATCGTTGTTATTTTATGGTTAATAAAATATTGACTGAGACAATCTCTGTTGTCTCATGGTTAATAAAATATTGATTGAGACAATCTCTGTTGTCTCATGGTTAATAAAATATTGATTGAGACAATCGTTGTTATTTTATGGTTAATAAAATATTGACTGAGACAATCTCTGTTGTCTCATGGTTAATAAAATATTGATTGAGACAATCTCTGTTGTCTCATGGTTAATAAAATATTGATTGAGACAATCGTTGTTATTTTATGGTTAATAAAATATTGACTGAGACAATCTCTGTTGTCTCATGGTTAATAAAATATTGATTGAGACAATCTCTGTTGTCTCATGGTTAATGAAATATTGATTGAGACAATCGTTGTTGTTTGATGGTTCATAAAATATAGTATTTTAATAGCATTTCATACAGCTGTTTCGTCCTTCTAGGACTCGTCGGCGATGCTACAACATATAGCTGTTTCGTCCTTCTAGGACTCGTTGGTGATGCTACGTCATACAGATGTTTCGTCCTTCTAGGACTCGTCGGTGATGCTACATCATACCGCTGCTTCGTCCTTCTAGGACTCGTCAGTGATGCTACATCATACACCTGTTTCGACCTTTTAGGACTCGTCACTGATGCTACATCATACACCTGTTTCGACCTTTTAGGACTCGTCAGTGATACTACATCATACAGCTGTTTCGTCAAAATCTGGACGAAGAGGTGTTAAGCTCAATTATTAAATGAATTTTGTGATTTTCATATACTAGATAATTTTAGAACTGCGTCAAGTATATACATATATTCTGAATCGTGCCACTAACCAAATGAAGTTAAACATGACAGACAGTTTACGGCAGATCTCCGGGACTTAAAGTCAATCTGTAGTGTCTACCACCTTCTTTATCAAAGATTGTACAGAAACATACAAGTGAATAGCACATTTTAATAATTTAGAGTTAGAGATACAGTAGAGCTAAACAATGAAACAAGAGACCAACGGGCCTTAACTGTCATCGGATTAAAATTAGCATTGGATTCGTGTAAAACACACTACCGTTGTTATATCAGCTCTGATGTAAGATCAAACCGGTGTGATATATAGTAATATAAACCTTGACGACACATTCGTTCCGGTGATGACGTCATACCCATCACATCATACAAAAACTCAACAAACTAAATACATGGCTTCATGGATAGATCAGCCTTCTATTACGTAGTTTGTGTCAACGTAACAAACTTGGAACGAAAGGTGCTTCCCTCTCGGGTACAATGTACCTTTAAAAACAAGTAACAGCTTCTTTGTCAGTCAGCTACTAACTGGAGACTTGAGGCTGACCGACAGAGCATTATAGCAAAACTGAGGGCATTCCTTCATTTTACAAATAAGCAGAAGGATTTGGGTTTGACCAATGGTCAGTCTATAGGTACATCACTACTCTAGCCACTGCTTGAAAATTTTGATGAGGTTGTCTTTGCGTACGACATTGATTCAACACGTGGCTAGGTTCGAGCAGTAATTAAAATAGGATTGACTGACCAGTGGACAGTTCCACGATGTTCCGACCTCTTGCATCCCAAATATGGTCAGGTGGTTTCTGCTCACGTAATGACATTTCAACGTGTGAGGTTGAAGGCAAAGGTTGATCGGCTCGGTAATTTGGAAAATATTTTAATGTGTACTCCGTGTGCATCAGCTTGACCTACAGAAGGTCATTCGCTGAGAGACGTGCTATTTGACTGAACTCTAAGGTAGAACTCTGCTTAAAGCATGGTGGTTTGCATGACCTAACCAAGGACTTGAATTAATTGAAGTAAGAACAGAATATATCAACATATCTATTCTTCTTATGTTTTTACGATTTTTTTTCGTAATACTTCCTTCAGTTATCAGTGACACATTTAGAAGTTTTTAAAAACAGCATCCATACAAAAAATGTTTACAAAAATCTATTTGTGTGGCAGCCTGTGATACAAGTGATTGTATTTATTATAGAATGTTTGTGTCTTTGATACGAGTTCGTTCACGTTAGTATCGGTTACTTTCGTTTTATCTAATGTACATATCTAGTAGGCCCGGAATAGGCATACTATTGTTAGTTACGTATTTTACATGTTCTGGACAATGACTGACCACCTGACCTGTGACATGCGCTGTTCAATTCTTTCTAACTTAACCTTGCTTTCCTTTCCTACTCCTGATTTTGGGCCAGAAGCGAAAAGACGTGTTCTGATAGTTCGCTTTATTTTGATGTCCGTCATGTCATTCAGGGGTAAGTCTTTGAATCATATTGGTTTTTTTTTTATTTCTGTAGAAAATATTAATAAGGAGCAGTTAATTCATCTATTTCAAATAAGCAATTCAATTATTTTAGATTTAATCTATATTTTCACCTGATCGATCTGGATGAGAGCAATATATTTTACAGCACATTACGTAATCCTCTAATTCTGTTTAGGTCTTGGTCTAGGTAACTTATGTACCATGTAAATGTAAGTGATTTGCAGCATATTTGTAATAAGCTTCATAGCGGAGTTAATGTTATTATTTTTTGTATATGAGCTACAGAGCAAATATATATTTGTCAGTAACATGAATGTGTCTGTGTGTTGTGTGAGAGTTTGATTTGGGTGCGTTCTATGACGAATTCTACCATGTATTGCAATACGTTATTTGTATCGTTTTAGGGATGTCTAGAACTATGCCCTAATTCTGAGAATAAAAATATGGAATGACATCGTCTAGTTGGTTGTTCGAAAGGAGAAACCATCAAACCCGATTGTACTACATATGCTCAATCGGATTTGTTCTGATGCCTCGCCATTCAATGAAGAAAAACAATTAAACAAGAGTTATCTCCCTTCTAACAGTAACGGTTGCCATTATGAGCATTTGGAACTTTAGCTCTAAATATTTTCGGTTTTAAGTTTTTTTACTGATTCAGTTGTGGGAATCGAGACCAGTGAGAATTATTGAGCAGTGGAATATTACAAAAAACAAAGACAGGACGTATAACTCAACTGCGTCTGTCTGTGATCTGATGACTTCACATCCACCTGTTCCGGGCGTGGTACAACGGGTTTGAATGAAAAAAATTGGAAGCGGAGTGCGGATTTATCACTGATTTGATTGTTCCGATCTAATACACCGGATTGTGATACTTAAATATGTGTGATGCGGGGTGTAGTGAGCGACACGTGGATGTCATCATTATTGGGGCAGGATTATCTGGAATGTCCGCCGCTTACCAAATCCACAAAACCAACCCAGAAATTAACCTCTGTGTACTTGAAGCCAATGGTAAGTAAATATATCCGTATTCAGTTGAGACAGATGTACACGTTTACTGTTCGTTGTAGAAGTATATCGTAGTCTGCCAGTGTATCACAGACATAAATAAAATTAACACGGAGGGAAAAAGAAACCTCTAGATTTTACTCTTTTGAAATAAGAATCACGAAGAATCAGGTAGGTATGTTGCTGTATAGGTATTGTGTAAACTACAAACATAAACATGATATACCTGTACAGGTGATATATATACATTCTTACGTAGATTTACATTTCTTTGAAGAGTTTTAAAGCGAGTCTGTGTGGGTTTTTTTTTCATTATATTGCTACTGAAGAGGTGTAACGAAAAAAAGACATGAAGAGTTTCCGCTAATCTCATAAAATAAAAACCTGAAAAAAACATCACTTGTATACTTTTGGAAAAGAGAAAGTTGTAGGAGAGATGAAAAAATTAAATTGGTGATATTGTCACTCTATATGTATATCCCTTTTCATGATGACATCATAATGTATTCGGAGACTTGAAATCATGACGTCATATTGGAAACAATTGGAACCTTAAGCCAATCACAGTTCATCTAGATCGTATAACCTATGTGTGGTAACAAAACTCGATGTAATTTATGTCATTACATTAAAAACATGGCCATTGATATATGATACATATCCAGGCGTCTGTTTACAGGCCGTAATAGCAGTAGTAAAGCAATAATAGATAAATTATCTTAATAATTTCTATTGCCATGTAATTCATTTCCTTTGTCATTTACACAATATAAATTTCGGAATCGTTTTTATCACCAATATTTCATGTCCTTGCTTTGTTATATAGAGAGCTGGTTTTCTTCTTACAGTATGCTTGTTGTAATAGTACTTTTTTTGAAGATACAGTTGTATGTCTTGTTATGGCATTTATGGTCGTCATAAATGACACAGCTTTGAAGGCAAACACCATAAGCCTGAAAATGAGACCAAAATTATTTCATTCAGACAGAGTGGGAGGCCGCACATTATCATTGCCACTTAATACTAGAAATGGAACGACGGAAGAGTTTGATTTTGGCGGCCATTGGGTTGGAAGGTAGGTGCTTGTATTGACTTTTAATAGTGAAACATAAACACATTACATATTCGCTGCTACATGCCTCGTTCTGTTTTCATGCGTAATCGTTGTCATTTGTGACGTAATATGCTACAAAGTTACATATTTTATCAATCTATAATTTAAATAGAACTATGAAAATATCAGTTATAATCAATAAATTTCCAAATATCGATATGTAAATGATAAAATACAACACAGCATTTCACGTCTGTTTCCTCATTTCTAGACCACAGAAGGCGATCATGGCACTGTTGGACGAGCTAGGCTTGGGGACTTACCCACAGAGAACTGAGGGCAGACACCTCCTCCAAGTCGGCGGTAAGAAAGTGACGTCATATAGAAACATCCCCTCCATACCTGTCCTCTCTCTACTAGACCTCACGCTTTTTACAAATAAGGTGAGTAAAAACATAATTTTGTTGTTATATTGATGACCATAAACAACTCCTCCAAGTACATCTAAACAATCTAACCACACGGGACCATTGTACAGGATTTCCTTACCGCAATATTCGATATTAAATTTCAATTCAAGTTGTTTGCTCCACAAGTCCCGCCATTTTTTTGAACAAAGAGTTTAAAAAAATTCCGAAGTATTAATTTATACTTCACTCTTTAGTGACGTCACAAGCTTCTCCCTGAAGTAGCAAGATACATCCGGATTATTTCTAGGTTAGCTAATAATTATGTGCTATGGAGAAAAACAATCGATAAATCCACGGTGTTGTTTCTGTATAGTTTTTAACAAGCACCGCTTTTGATTATGGCTAGAGGGTCCGAATCTTAGGCAAGACAATTTTAATATTTTATCTTCATTTTCTTTCATTTTCTAATTTTTATTAACTCATTTGTTTATCACTGGTCAACATGATTAATACCGGGGTAAGCATTTAATTGATAAGATACACCTTAAGCGTCCTCGAATGAATTTTTACGACTAAACTGGCCTCTGCTATTTACAGTGTTAAGGTTAATAGTATAACGCGATCAATTACAATCTAAATAAACGATTCAAGTTTATATTGTGGTCATAACTTCTGCTCGTACAGTTTTCTAAGTGGGGACATATCAAAAAGCACAAATGATAAATAACAGTTGATCTGCTTTGTTCAATATACAAATTAGCAGAGTCGATTTTCTGATGAAATCTGGAACGCGTTGTAACTTACCAATCGTTAGAAATGCCGTTAGAAATGTACCACTGTCTTTGATATCTATATCTAAATACTTGGTAACACTTCAGATTTTTATTTAGATAAGTTCGGCATATGAACGGAGTATATAAGTTATCACTAGTATATATTTATATTGTAATCATAAATGTACATTAACACATAGAGATGACAGTTGAAATGATAAAAAACCACGTGGTACAAACGAAACATTGATAAGAACGTGTAGAATTACCTGTACACAGTTCAAAATAGCAATGTGACTATGGAAAATTCTATATGTTGATACAGACTGACAGTTTTCAGATTCATATTTTTAAATAATACATGTACATGGATTTACGTAGATTTATGTAGGTATTTATTAAAACGAAATATGGAACGATTGATTTTAAAAATGTGCGCATATCATGTTCACGTTTCTAATAAAAAAAGTACGACTTCCATATCTCGAATTTATATATCTCGAAGACCCCGTTTAAGTCGATTTATTTCTTCAGTCCCGGCTAATCTTCAGCAATACATTCGACCTCATTCAATTCGAATACAATGATAACTGGAAGTTTCCCCACGGTCTGACGACTTTGAGTTAACTCTCTTACCACCCCCCCCCCCCCTACACACCCAACACACACTCTCTTACTCTCTCCCAACAACACACTGTCTTACTCTCCCCCAAACAACACGCACTCTCTTACTCTCCCCCAACAACACACTCTCTTACTCTCCCCCAAACAACACACACTCTCTCTCTTACTCTCCCCCAAACAACACGCACTCTCTTTCTCTCCCCCAACACACTCTCTTTCTCTCCCCCATCAACACACTCTCTTACTCTCCCCCAAACAACACATACTCTCTTACTCTCCCCCAACAACACACTCTCTTACTCTCCCCCAACAACACACTCTCTTACTCTCCCCCAAACAACACGCACTCTCTTACTCTCCCCCAACAACACACTCTCTTACTCTCCTCCAAACAACACACACTCTCTTACTCTCCCCCAAACAACACGCACTCTCTTACTCTCCCCCAAACAACACATACTCTCTTACTCTCCCCCAACAACAGACTATCTTACTCTCCCCCAAACAACACATACTCTCTTACTCTCCCCCAACAACACACTCTCTTACTCGCCCCCAACAACACACTCTCTTACTCTCCCCCAAACAACACACACTCTCTTACTCTCCCCCAAACAACACGCACTCTCTTACTCTCCCCCAACAACACACTCTCTTACTCTCCCCAAAACAACACGCACTCTCTTACTCTCCCCCAAACAACATACATTCTCTTACTCTCCTCCAAACAACACGCACTCTCTTTCTCTCCCCCAACAACACACTCTCTTACTCTCCCCCAAACAACACACACTCTCTTACTCTCCCCCAAACAAACACTCTCTTACTCTCCACCACACAACACGCACTCTCTTACTCTCCCCCAACAACACACTCTCTTACTCTCCCCCAAACAACACATACTCTCTTTCTCTCCCCCAACAACACACTCTCTTACTCTCCCCCAAACAACACATACTCTCTTACTCTCCCCCAACAACACACTCTCTTACTCTCCCCCAAACAACACTCACTCTCTTACTCTCCCCCAACAACACACTCTCTTACTCTCCCCCAAACAACACACACTCTCTTACTCTCCCCCAAACAACACATACTCTCTTACTCTCCCCCAACAACACACTCTTACTCTCCCCCAAACAACACATACTCTCTTACTCTACCCCAAACAACACATACTCTCTTACTCTCCCCCAACAACACACTCTCTTACTCTCCCCCAACAACACACTCTCTTACTCTCCCCCAAACAACACACACTCTCTTACTCTCCCCCAAACAACACGCACTCTCTTATTCTCCCCCAACAACACACTCTCTTACTCTCCCCCAAACAACACACACTCTCTTACTCTCCCCCAAACAACACGCACTCTCTTACTCTCCCCCAACAACACACTCTTACTCTCCCCCAAACAACACATACTCTCTTACTCTCCCCCAACAACAGACTATCTTACTCTCCCCCAAACAACACATACTCTCTTACTCTCCCCCAACAACACACTCTCTTACTCTCCCCCAACAACACACTCTCTTACTCTCCCCAAAACAACACGCACTCTCTTACTCTCCCCAAAACAACATACATTCTCTTACTCTCCTCCAAACAACACGCACTCTCTTTCTCTCCCCCAACACACTCTCTTACTCTCCCCCAAACAACACATACTCTCTTACTCTCCCCCAACAACACACTCTCTTACTCTCCCCCAACAACACACTCTCTTACTCTCCCCCAAACAACACACACTCTCTTACTCTCCCCCAAACAACACGCACTCTCTTACTCTCCCCCAACAACACACTCTTACTCTCCCCCAAACAACACATACTCTCTTACTCTCCCCCAACAACAGACTATCTTACTCTCCCCCAAACAACACATACTCTCTTACTCTCCCCAACAACACACTCTCTTACTCTCCCCCAACAACACACTCTCTTACTCTCCCCAAAACAACACGCACTCTCTTACTCTCCCCCAAACAACATACATTCTCTTACTCTCCTCCAAACAACACGCACTCTCTTACTCTCCCCCAACAACTCACTCTCTTACTCTCCCCCAAACAACATACATTCTCTTACTCTCCTCCAAACAACACGCACTCTCTTACTCTCCCCCAACAACACACTTTCTTACTCTCCCCCAAACAACACACACTCTCTTACTCTCCCCCAAACAACACGCACTCTCTTACTCTCCTCCCAACAACACACACTCTCTTACTCTCCCCCAACAACACACTCTCTAAACCCTCCCAACAACACACTCTGTAAACCCTCCCAACAGCACATACTCTCTAACACAAAACTGGGACAAAGTTAAACTAAAGAAAGATTTAAACGGAGACTCCTGCAAACAATAAATACCAGGTGACACACGCCATGTAATGCTTGATCAATCCAAGTAAGTCATGTCACGTTCTCAAATGAGAACAAGATATACAGGAACGGAACCAACAGACAAACTAACGAGCATCAAACACGACCAGCTTCATATCACTAAACGGAACCAACAGACAAACTAACGAGCATCAAACACGACCAGCTTCATATCACTCAACGGAACCAACAGACAAACTAACGAGCATCAAACACGACCAGCTTCATATCACACAACGGAACCAACAGGCAAACTAACGAGCATCAAATACGACCAGCTTCATATCACACAACGGACCCAACAGACAAACTAACGAGCATCAAATACGTCAAGTTTCATGTCAGACAAAGAATTAGAATATTTTTCAATGAGATCACTGTGGCGTCCAGTGTGGTATGTTTGTTATGAATCAGTCACGCTCTCCAACAGGTCTTTATATCACAAAATCAGATATGTGTTTTTGTTCAATTAGACACACACTAGAACAGATCTATGTATAACGAATTGAGGGATGTGTTTTTTATTTGTCTTCAGATAGGGAAATACGTAAAAAGAATCGATCTTGCCCACCCATACCAGTGTCCTAAAGGCGAGAAATGGGACAACATGGACATGGAGACATTCTTTCAGCGTAATCTACGCACAAAAGGTAGGCACTGTCCCCACTGTTTCCAGCCTTACGGCGTCATAATATCTCGCTCAGGTACATACATGTTTTTATTTGTGTTTTTCGGTTGAACACGTTTCAAAAAATCATCCACCTCAGCTTGGTGTTTTGCATTGTACACATTCCTGAACTATTGGTTTTGATGAAGTTCACAGCCCCAAGGTCAAGGTCACATTTGCTATTACAGACGAGCATTGCCGTCTTTCATGTACTTTCCTTTTTGGTTCCAGCGGCGAAGGATTTCATGCGTGTAATAACTCGTACCATTACGACCATGGAACCTTCTCAGCAGTCAGTATTGTCACTTTTGATGTCAGTGGCCGGATCTGGTGGTATGGAAAAGATGTTTGAGACCACAGAGGACTCGGCGCAAGGGTTAAAGGTCAAGGTAAGTAGGTCAAGGCATAACGATTGAACAATTCTCGGAAGTTTTTTTATGGAGTTTGTTAATGTTGATGTCTTACTGTTTGTAGCGGGGTTTGTCAACTTATTTCTGTTGTCTTAAAGTCGGTGTTACATGATTTATTTAGAAATGTGATGGAAATTCAAACTTCGCATAAGAATAAACCTAATGATCTAACTCTCGGTATCAACAATTACAAATGCATAAGGTGATATTCAATCAAGGATCTTTTCCTGCAGCGCAGATAACCTGGTCAGGTTTCCATCAGGTTGTGTGAACGTGATCAGCTGGATTTTTCTCTTTAGTGTTTTGTCAATTTTAGGATTATTAAAATAGTCCACACTTTCGGGTCAGATAAGAGTATTGTTACCAGAGGGGATGTTATTAAGGAGTCCTACACGAGGCTTACCGAATGTTTCTAAATCAATAATCTTTCCCTGAAGGTTGAGATTTTTCTGTCTTACCCACAAGAGGGATAATTTTACTTACCTCTGGCCTCCTTATACATGCAGTATGTAGTTGTGAATTCAATACTTGCGAAACACGTTTTTCCAACTTGTTTAAACCCCTCTGTTGGTCTGAATGGAAACGCGTGAGGCATCTTACTGTGGAAGGAAACGATACTAATACCTGGGGAAATCCCACGCGGTCAGGCAGTTGCACCTATATTCTTTCACGTCCGGTCCGGCAATCGGTCCCCGGACGCTTTAGTGAAAAGTGAGTGTGTTGTTATCACTGCGTCACCCGACATGATTTAGAGTATTGTGTCGATAAAGGTTATGGAGAAGTTAAATGGTTGTATTGATATTCTGTTTGAAGTTATACGTATTTTATACTGCCAATCTTGTTCTCATTTTAGAATGTGACATTACTTATATTGTTAACTAAGAATCAGAAGACACTATAATTTCAGTACACCTGGCCTTATTCTCCGTGTAGATATCACCCTTTCGGTACACCTGGCCTTATTCTCCGTGTAGATATCACCCTTTCGGTACACCTGGCCTTATTCTCCGTGTAGATATCACCCTTTCGGTACACCTGGCCTTATTCTCAGTGTAGATATCACCCTTTCGCTACACCTGTCCTTATTCTCCGTTTAGATATCACCCTTTCGGTACACCTGGCCTTATTCTCCGTGTAGATATCACACATTCAGTACACCTGGCCTTATTATCCGTGTAGATATCACACATTCAGTACACCTGGCCTTATTATCCGTGTAGATATCACCCTTTCAGTACACCTGGCCTTATTTTCCGTTTAGATATTACTCTTTCAGTACACCTGGCCTTATTATCCGTGTAGATATCACCCTTTCAGTACACCTGGCCTTATTCTCCGTGTAGATATCTCACTTTCAGTACACATGGACTTATTCTCCGTGTAGATATCACACTTTCAGTACACCTGGTCTTATTATCCGTGTAGATATCACACTTTCAGTACACCTGGTCTTATTATCCGTGTAGATATCACACTTTCAGTACACCTGGTCTTATTATCCGTGTAGATATCACACTTCCAGTACACCTGGCCTTATTATCCGTGTAGATATCACACTTTCAGTACACCTGGCCTTATTCTCCGTGTAGATATCACACTTCCAGTACACCTGGCCTTATTATCCGTGTAGATATCACACTTCCAGTACACCTGGTCTTATTATCCGTGTAGATATCACACTTCCAGTACACCTGGTCTTATTCTCCGTGTAGATATCACACTTCCAGTACACCTGGTCTTATTATCCGTGTAGATATCACACTTTCAGTACACCTGGCCTTATTATCCGTGTAGATATCACCCTTTCAGTACACCTGGCCTTATTCTCCGTGTAGAAATCACACTTCCAGTACACCTGGCCTTATTATCCGTGTAGATATCACACTTCCAGTACACCTGGTCTTATTATCCGTGTAGATATCACACTTCCAGTACACCTGGTCTTATTATCCGTGTAGATATCACACTTCCAGTACACCTGGCCTTATTCTCCGTGTAGATATCACACTTCCAGTACACCTGGTCTTATTATCCGTGTAGATATCACACTTTCAGTACACATGGACTTATTCTCCGTGAAGATATCACCCTTTCAGTACACATGGACTTATTTTCCGTTTAGATATTACCCTTTCAGTACACCTGACCTTATTCTCCGTGTAGATATCACACTTCCAGTACACCTGGCCTTATTATCCGTGTAGATATCACACTTTCAGTACACCTGGCCTTATTATCCGTGTAGATATCACTCTTTCAGTACACCTGGCCTTATTATCCGTGTAGATATCACACTTTCAGTACACCTGGCCTTATTATCCGTTTAGATATCACCCTTTCAGTACACCTGGCCTTATTCTCCGTGAAGATATCACACTTTCAGTACACCAGGGCCCGTATACATGAAGCCATTCTCATGCTCAAGCATAGATTTTGTGATCAAGCAATTTTGCTTATAATTCGCCTAAATCATATAAAATAATATAAATGTCAAATATAAACATTGAATATAACTTTGACTTTAAGTCCTTTCAAAATTGTTTCTAAATCTTTGACAAAATCAGCCTTATTTATCAGTTTTTTAACTTAAACAAGGCATAAGGCTTGAGCACAGAATTCATGCTTGAGCCTGAGAACGGTTTCATTGATACGGGCCCAGGTCTTAATTTACGTGTAGATATATTACCATTTCAGTACACCTGGTATTATCCTTGATGTAAGTCTTACCCTTTTGGTTAATATTGTCTTATTCTGAATGTAATTATTTTTCTCTATATTTTTTACCTCATTTCATTGATCTGGAGTTTGACTGAAGGTTTTGTAAACGTGTCGATATTTTCTTGTTGTTTTTCAATTGCTATCATAACTACTAGTTTGTATTTATTTGTATCAATATTGTGTTTAATTACAGGGTGGTACTCAGCAGATTTCAAAAATACTGGCAGATAAAGTAGGACAAGCCAATATTCTACTAAACCATCCAGTGGTGAAGGTTGTCCAGGTCTGAACAGTTACTATAATACTACATAATCGCTAATTTTTACGGGCAGACTTTTCACTAATTTGATAATAGAACGGTCGCATTATCTTTGAAGGAATAAAAAATTTCGCGATCTGGATGTAAAATATCATCTGATATACTTATAGGTCTCATTATTTCGATGATTAAACTTTTGCGATCATCTTTATGTATCGCAAAAATATAATTCGTGCGAAAATTACCGCCTCTACGGTATCTCACCATATGTTAGACATTATGAACTAAACACAATTTTCGTTACGCCATTATCAAACTATATCTATTTTATTTAATCGTTAATTGGTTCAGAAGTATACAGTGAATTACATATGAATATATCGATCTCTATTATCTAACGACATGTTTTTTTCTTTCGTTCTACTTTTTAGAGAGCTGTTGATTTATCTTAATAACCCCGTAGATAGGCGATTGTTTGTAGGTTAACGTTTTAGTGTAGTCTGGAGGGGTGTTTCATGATAAACCTTGTAAACACAAAGATAGGCGACTGTTTGACGTTTTAGTGTAGTCTGGAGGGGTGTTTCATGATAAACCTTGTAAACACAAAGATAGGCGACTGTTTGACGTTTTAGTGTAGTCTGGAGGGGTGTTTCATGATAAACCTTGTAAACACAAAGATAGGCGACTGTTTGACGTTTTAGTGTAGTCTGGAGGGGTGTTTCATGATAAACCTTGTAAACACAAAGATAGGCGACTGTTTGACGTTTTAGTGTAGTCTGGAGGGGTGTTTCATGATAAACCTTGTAAACACAAAGATAGGCGACTGTTTGACGTTTTAGTGTAGTCTGGAGGGGTGTTTCATGATAAACCTTGTAAACACAAAGATAGGCGACTGTTTGACGTTTTAGTGTAGTCTGGAGGGGTGTTTCATGATAAACCTTGTAAACACAAAGATAGGCGACTGTTTGACGTTTTAGTGTAGTCTGGAGGGGTGTTTCATGATAAACCTTGTAAACACAAAGATAGGCGACTGTTTGACGTTTTAGTGTAGTCTGGAGGGGTGTTTCATGATAAACCTTGTAAACACAAAGATAGGCGACTGTTTGACGTTTTAGTGTAGTCTGGATTGGTGTTTCATGATAAACCTTGTAAACACAAAGATAGGCGACTGTTTGACGTTTTAGTGTAGTCTGGATTGGTGTTTCATGATAAACCTTGTAAACACAAAGATAGGCGACTGTTTGACGTTTTAGTGTAGTTTGGAGGGGTGTTTCATGATTAACCCGTACACCTAGATACAGAAAGACAATTAATCCACTATGTAAGATAATACCAATAGACGGTTATGTTACAGGACGACAATTACGTGACCGTCTCGTGCCAAAATGGACTGCAGGTGACTGGTCGGTGTCTCATCTTAGCCACGCCCCCTACAGCTGCAGGTGAGGGTGAACCGGAAATGACGCAAAAAGATAATTGCTGCTAGTTAATATCACATGCGTTAAGCATCACTTATTTCCTCGAATGACTGTTGGTATGGAAAGTGTGCACATATTACGGTGCGAGATGTCCATTTCACTATAACAGAATGAAACGTTTTGCCTGCCGAATGAAAAGACTAATGCAATCTAACGAAACATGAACAGTTGAAGTACCTTTCTTAGATTTATTGATAAAGATGTCACGACGAAAATAACCTACTACATGTTTATATACGACATAATTAGACGACTATTAAACACATTGTCAATAATATTCGCATCAAGTTTAATTGAACTATTTCTTTATTTTTTTACTTCTAGACAAAATTAGATTTGAGCCTCTGCTTCCGGTTGAGATAACAGAGGTCAACAAAAGTTATGTATTTGGAGATTGTATCAAAACCATAGTGACGTACGAAGAGGTAAGTTCTTTTTGACGGAGGATGATGAGACTAAATCAGTCGATTTTTTCAACAACTATGTCCTCGGGTAGTCGCATCTTTGTAACGGTTGTATTCCTGTAGTCCTAGAATTGTTAAATTCTAACGTCTCTATAAGAGCCGGGTCATTTGGAAATTGATTAAACCTGTTTCTCTAAAAGAGGCGTGTCCTAGAATTAATCAATTCTACCGTCTCTGTAAGGGACGGGTCATTTGGAAATTGAAAAACCTGTTTCTCTAAAAGAGGCGTGTCCTAGAATTAATAAATTCTACCGTCTCTATAAGAGGCGTGTCCTAGAATTGATAAATTATACCGTCTCTATAAGAGGCGTGTCCTAGAATTGATAAATTCTACCGTCTCTATAAGGGGTGGGTCTTTTGGAAATTGAAATACCTGCTTCTGTATAAGAGGCGTGTCCTAGAATTGATAAATTCTACCGTCTCTATAAGAGGCGTGTCCTAGAATTAATAAATCATACCGTCTCTATAAGGGACGGGTCATTTGGAAATTGAAATACCTGCTTCTGTATAAGAGGCATGTCCTAGAATTGATAAATTCTAACGTCTCTATAAGAGGCGTGTCCTAGAATTGATAAATTCTACCGTCTCTATAAGGGGCGGGTCATTTGGAAATTGAAATCGCTGCTTCTCAATAACAGGCGTGTCCTAGAATTGATAAATTCTACCGTCTCTATAAGAGGCGTGTCCTAGAATTGAAAAATTCTACCGTCTCTATAAGAGGCGTGTCCTAGAATTGTTAAAACTCTGACGGTCATAATTTGATGTTTACTGGGCCATTGTAAGTTTTGGAATCAAATAAAGATTCAAACATCCCACAATTTAATTATCTTCTTTAGTATACCTTCAAACAATTAGCTATTTTCCTGATTCATGCGAGATTCGGAGTTGTTGGAAACTAGTGCTAAAAAATGGCGAATGAGCACAGACATACCATGGATGAATCGGAGTGACTAGAAGATTACAAAAAAATCTCCATAAATATTAACATATCCTACCCATTTATGTATGTGATAGTATCTGTTATAAATATATGATATTAACCGGAGTTTAAGATTTATTCATTGTTATGATAAACCGGGTACATATACATAAGGCTACTTTTTAAAAAAGAAAGGCCCTTACTCTGTCCTTGTAAGCGAATTATATCTTTTATCGGTTGATGAAGGCGTTTTGGGCCAGAAGGGGATTAAATGGCGATATAGAGACAAATGGTGGACCTAGTCATGTGACCGGATGTGATAAAGGACCGATAACAGCTGTAATGGATGTGACGTCACATACGGGGAACCCAGCGTTGGTTGTGTTTATAAATGGAATACAGGCTCGTCAATGGGGAATACAGCAGGTCAGTGGTCAATAACACGTTCCTGTCCGAGAAATACGTATGTTTATATTATATGTAGTATGTAAATCTTTAAACCTGTTTCCATTTAACACACACGTGAATAACACCTTTTGATAAGTGTGAGATACCGAATTAAATTGCATCATACATTTATTTTAGGACTCGGCAGTGATGCCAAGGGCCTAAATTTTGAAGTCTAGGAGGTGACTGAGGAAAATCTAAAGTAAACCAAAGAAAAGTCCAAATCTATACTAGGAGATGCAGCAATCCAATAATTAAATAAATTTCGTAATGTTCACAAATCAGTAATTATTTTAGAACAGGTACACATACTATTCTGAACCGTGGTATCACGTGATGTAGCTCATTGTATTCAAACAATTCAGATACTGAATCCATGAACTACAGTGAATTACTATGGACTTATTAAGCCTTAATGAGCATTGTTAACACAAGACATGTTTTCGATATTTTGATGTAAAATTATCACCCAAACTGTACATATATGTGATATATTGATGTTAAGAATAATTTCCAAATATGGTTGTTCAAACCGAAACTATGTTTTAAAGCGTTTGTCACCAGGGGAGATTTTATCGTGACTTTGTAGAGATAGTGTCTGTGTGTATCAGATCGGTTTCAACCTGGTATAATAATTTGTTGATATGTGAACAAGTAGGTTTTCAATTATGATGAACTTGAAGTAGAACATATTTAACGACGCATCAGAGTGTTTAAACGAACATAAGATAGTGTTTAATCAAACATAAGATAGTGTTTAATTAAACATCAGATGGTGTTAAACCAAACATCAGATAGTGTTTAACCATACATTAGATGTGTTTAACCATACATCAGATAGTGTTTAACCGTACATCAGATGGTGTTAAACCAAACATCAGATAGTGTTTAACCATACATTAGATGTTTTTACCATACATCAGATAGTGTTTAACCTTACATTAGATATTGTGTAACCAAACATCAGATAGTGTTTAACCGTACATCAGATAGTGTTTAACCAAACATCAGATAGTGTTTAACCGTACATCAGATAGTGTTTAACCAAACATCAGATAGTGTTTAACCTTACATTAGATATTGTGTAACCAAACATCACATAGTGTTTAACCATACGTTAGATAGTGTTTAACCATACGTCAAGTAGTGTTTAACCATACATCAAATAGTGGATAACCATACATCAGATGGTGTTTAACCATACGCCAGGTAGTGTTTAACCATACATCAGATATTGTGACACTACTTAGCTACGTATTGCATATATCGTATCATATTTAGATTCTAAAACTTATTTTGGTTGTGTTTTAGGAGGACGTTAGACGGAATGCTGTTCTGGAATCTCTCTCTAATTACTTTGGACAGGAAGCATTATCTCCCCTTGATTACCGTGAGAAAAATTGGGGCGAGGAAGAATTTATCGGTGGCGCATTAGATTCCATAGGACTGGGGGCCATAAAATATCTGGATAAAGGACCTGGAGGTCCCTTTATGCGGTAAATATTGCAGAAAACATCGCAGATTTGATTTCCAACGATACCAAAAATACGTCGTAACTAAACAGTTAATGGTTAATAATTCAATAACAACACTGGCGTAGGACTTCAGATAATTACCTGGAGAAGAATCATAGACAATGGTTCTGTTTTATACCTGATCACAGTATGGTGCGGTAATACCACACGGAAAGGTTTGACATCTACAAGATAAAACAAATCAAGTCAATTCGAGAATGTAGACATTACGCTGCTGTATCATTTTTTCTGGGTAAATTTCAAAAAAATTTATTGTGAAAACTGCTATGGCCTATGTAGATTGATGTCCATATTTTTGACACAATAACCGAACTAGTGTCTTTTAAGTACGTTTTCGAAGAGAAATTGACATGATTATACGGTGAGCACGGTCCGTGATAAATTTTAATTTCTTAATTTTATCTTTATTTTTGCAATTATCAGTCATGTTTCAACATTCTGATACAATGCACTATTAAGTTTTTAAACATTATTTGTTTTAAGAATATCAGTAAGGTTCTAAGTATGTAATTTTGAATCTTGTTCGATTGCCAGTGTCCACTTCGCCGGGACAGAGACTGCTGATGAATGGAACGGGTACATGAGCGGTGCTGTAGAGGCAGGAACACGGGCAGCTAACGAGGTGTTAGGTTTCTTACAGTCAGTTCAATGAGTGGATGATCTGAAACAACGTATAGACGACATCACACTAGTGGCCTTGCTGTGTTAAATATTTAACCGAGTTCGGTAATTTGATGAATTTAGAACATTTGATATTACAAGGAGTGAAGGACATGAAAGACTACATTTATCACGCTATCTTAGAAAATTTGAGAAAAAATCAATTTGTTTCTCGATAATAGGTTTTTTTCAGGTTGAATGTGAATTTCTTCAAATCCGCGGCGACAATGCCATGACGTCATTTAGTTATGATGTCACAAAAGTAGTATGGCACGTGCACCTTACTATATCAATGACATGGATGTATACCCTAGCATACAATATGGTTGGGATATTTATCTCAACTATAGGATGAATACATGTCAGACGATCAACATGGGACCTTAATCTTAAATATCCCTCGTTTCATGACATTTAAAGCTAAATTTCTCATTTAGGTTAAGTTTGAAAAATAACCAACATTACAGAAAGACCACATGATTGAAAGATAAGCACGTCAGTACTGAACTTCGCTAGCCAAAACGTTGATAACTAAGGACTGTATCTCTAAGCTGGGTGTGAAGCAAACCTTTGTTAGAAATAGCGGAGATTCAGCATCTGAACCAAAAGCAACGTTTAAGGAAATGGAAAATGTTATATGTCACCTTGTGTCGTCAAGTTACATGCGAAAGACAATAATCAACTCTGCAAGAAATTTCCTTTGGTATCGTGATAACTGCCTTCAACTCCAGACCTGCAAGGACCAACTCCAGACCTGCTAGGACCAACTCCAGGCCCGCTAGGCCCAAATCCAGACCAGCTAGGGCCAACTACAGACCTGCTAGGGCCAACTCCAGACCTGCTAGGGCCAAGTCCAGACCTGCCAGGCCCAACTCCAGACCAGCTAGGGCCAACTACAGACCAGCTAGGGCCAACTACAGACCTGCTAGGGCCAACTCCAGACCTGCTAGGGACAATTCTGCAAAAAGGAAAAGTGCTAACCGCTTTTTAGTAGATATGATTAGAACGCGGGACATTTTTATAGTAACCTAGAAACGTATTTATATTTACAATACAAAGACGCATAATATCTCATCACAGTGTATAGTGTTCACAGTGTAAACATAGCTAATAACGAGCTTCTAGTAATGGCATTTTATATCGATATAACTGCCAATGGAAAGCACGGGAAATTTGAATTTGAATACAAATAATATATAAAGCTGGATAACATACAAAATGCATCACTATTGAACTGCATTCAGTGACGGACATACAATCCACTACACACGGATTAACATGATATTGTTAACTTTATCTAACATCATTATTACACAGTGTATCACTAAATTATCAACTATCCTGTTCATTATATCATACATACTCTGCTTTCTCTTGTTTTACATTTTTTGCTGTGATACAAGTAAGATGTATATTGCTGATAGTGAAATGTATTTTAAGACAAATATACAATGTATTTAAGATATATCTGAGGGGAGAATCTCAAACAGATTGCGATTTGTAAAAGGTAGAAATTGTGAATGTGTACATTTCTTTTTTATTTTCCATATAAAGCTTTGATTGAATTCAAACCGTTTTGATTTGTTGAATGATTCTATATTAAAAGTTTCTTTTTGCATTTTTCTAGGATAAATTCTAGTTTCGTCGTTTTGGAGTTCTATTAACATATCTGTATTGCATTGTTTTCTATTTTCAAACATTCTTACAGCTATTGTTTTATGGATGAAGTCAATAACACTATAAGAGGAAGGTCATTACCAACTGTATATCACGTGTTGTTAGGACAACTATATATATATAGGATGGTCATTACCAACTGTATATCACGTGTTGTTAGGACAACTATATATATATAGGATGGTCATTACCAACTGTATATCACGTGTTGTTAGGACAACTATATATATATAGGATGGTCATTACCAACTGTATATCACGTGTTGTTAGGACAACTATATATATATAGGATGGTCATTACCAACACTATATCACGTGTTGTTAGGACAACTATATATATATAGGATGGTCATTACCAACACTATATCACGTGTTGTTAGGACAAATATATATATATAGGATGGTCATTACCAACACTATATCACGTGTTGTTAGGACAAATATATATATATATAGGATGGTCATTACCAACTATATATCACGTGTTGTTAGGACAACTATATATATATAGGATGGTCATTACCAACACTATATCACGTGTTGTTAGGACAAATATATATAAATAGGATGGTCATTACCAACACTATATCACGTGTTGTTAGGACAACTACATATATATAGGATGGTCATTACCAACTAAATATCACGTGTTGTTAGGACAACTATATATATATAGGATGGTCATTACCAACACTATATCACGTGTTGTTAGGACAACTATATATATATATATATATATACATATATATATATATAGGATGGTCATTACCAACACTATATCACGTGTTGTTAGGACAACTATATATATATAGGATGGTCATTACCAACACTATATCACGTGTTGTTAGGACAACTATATATATATATAGGATGGTCATTACCAACACTATATCACGTGTTGTTAGGACGACTATATATATATAGGATGGTCATTACCAACACTATATCACGTGTTGTTAGGACGACTATATGAAATATCCACTTTTATTCTAGACTGTATCATCCAATGAATTAAACGACGATCTACAATAACAATAGTTATTCGTTGAGTACTATATACGAAAGGGTTTGTGTTTTTCAATAGAAATAACTCCATTGTCGTGAAGTTTTTACTATATCAATATTTGACTATACTGTCGTGTTGTTCTATAGTTCATACTACATAGTATATTATTAATCATGACGCTTTCTAACAAAGAATGAAATATGAAAGTGGTCGTTAAATCTGTCTCAAAACAAAGACATGTCCATTAATAGTAATGTCCCTGCATCCTCAACCCATGGTGTTTACATGTCGCTGTTGATTCGATACTCAAGGCCTGTTCCCATTATCACGATTTTCGTGTAAGAAGCCGTCAACCGATTGACGAACTTGTAACACAGTATTTCAAATGATGGAGCTCAATAATAAGGTGGGGCTGCTGTACGGTCGACATCGTGATCCCATCAAAACAATCCATTTCTTTATGTGATGTGAAGCTGGACGTGTTTGATGTTCATTAGTTTGTCGGTGTTGGTTCCGTTGTGTGATCTGAAGCTGGACGTGTTTGATGTTCATTAGTTTGTCGATGTTGGTTCCGTTGTGTGATCTGAAGCTGGTCGTGTTTGATGTTCATTAGTTTGTCGATGTTGGTTCCGTTGTGTGGTCATGGAACATGACAGGTGTCGTCGATGAAGCAGAAGACGCTAATTTTCCTGGAACACTTGGGTTTTATTCTCCTTGCATTTTTTCAGGAGTGTTCGTATAAATCTTTTGTTCATATTTTGTCCTAGTTATATTGAATTTGAGTTTGGGTAATAATTATGTTGGCATGTTGGTATTTTCTTGGGTTTTTTTTTTGTAATATAGAATCTTTCATTGATTCAGGTTTAAATCAATATACGAATTTAATCATTTGATAGGTAACGAACCTATTGTTTAGTGGTATGTCAAATATTTCATAGATATATTAAATTGAATTCTACATGGGTACAAGGGTAAGATTCTATTGATCACACGACTCTTATTTACTAGAAACAAGCGGGGAAAAAAGTTATTTTCTCAGTAAGCGACGCGGTCGGGTTGTTATTCAGTGACGAGAAAGCCATGTGGCGTGATCAAGGTATGGTTTATTTATGACGACACAACAGTGTTATTACACAGGTTTAACGATAATTATACCAGGACGCTATGACAGGTTCCACTGAGTTTACCGGGATATATGTGTAAAAATAGTGTCGTAATATCATGTGCAACGAAAAATAAGAAACTGAGCACGAGCTGGGAAAGCACACAGTTACTGTAACTCATTGCGTGTCGACGAAGGCGAATTATTGTGTCCCAACCCTAACTCCTTCCAACCCTCACCTGAGCCTGACCGGGACGCTGGGATGGCTTCCATGTCTTTTTTTACCATTTTACCAGTTAAGTGAACACCTTGTTCATCATGAAACAGTGCCTCAAAATAACTGCATGTAAAAAAGAGGTACTTCTGATTGAAATCAGTAACTTATGTTCAACAGAAATATTAACAATTTATCTTTATTTCGATATTGCAAACCATTCATATTTTACATGCAGACGCGATCATGCTTTTTTCGGCTGTTGCCTTGTTCGTTATGTGTTCTTCATTTTCCCTTGTGGCTTCGGTGGCGACAACTTTGTTAGAACTCGAAGGTTAAAGAGATATGTGTCACGATAGTTATCAGCACACCCTCATCAGATCAAACTATGGTAGATGCCAAGATTCTTCTGACAGCCTAACTCTGATAGCGTACCTCTGATAGCCTAACTCTGATAGCTTACATCTGATAGCCTAACTCTGATAGATTACCTCTGATAGCCTAACTCTGACAGCTTAACTCTGATAGCTTAACTCTGATAGCCTAACTCTTGTAGCCTAACTCTGATAGCTTAACTCTGATAGCCTAACTCTGATAGCCTAACTCTGATAGCCTAATTGTGGTAGCTGAACTCTGATAGCATACCTCTGACAGCTAAACTCTGACGGCCAAACTCTGATAGCGTACCTCTGATAGCCTAACTCTGATAGCTTACATCTGATAGCCTAACTCTGATAGCAATCCTCTGACAGCCAAACTCTGATAGCATATCTCTGATAGCCTAACTCTGATAGCTTACCTCTGATAGCCAAACTCTGATAGCATATCTCTGATAGCCTAACTCTGATAGCCTCTAACTCTGATAGCCTAACTCTGATAGCCTAACTCTGATAGCCTAACTCTGATAGCCTAACTCTGATAGATTACCTCTGATAGCCTAACTCTGATAGCCTAACTCTGATAGATTACCTCTGATAGCCTAACTCTGATAGCCTAACTCTGATAGCCTAACTCTGATAGCCTAACTCTGATAGCCTAACTCTGATAGATTACCTCTGATAGCCTAACTCTGATAGCCTAACTCTGATAGCCTAACTCTGATAGTCTAACTCTGATAGCCTAACTCTGATAGCCTAACTCTGATAGCCTAACTCTGATAGCCTAACTCTGATAGCCTAACTCTGATAGCCTAACTCTGATAGATTACCTCTGATAGCCTAACTCTGATAGCCTAACTCTGATAGCCTAACTCTGATAGCCTAACTCTGATAGCCTAACTCTGATAGCCTAACTCTGATAGCCTAACTCTGATAGCCTAACTCTGATAGCCTAACTGTGATAATTAACTCTGATAGCCTAACTCTGATAGCCTAACTCTGATAGCCTAACTCTGATAGCCTAACTCTGATAGCCTAACTCTGATAGCCTAACACTGATAGTCTAACTCTGATAGCCTAACTCTGATAGCCTAACTCTGATAGCCTAACACTGATAGCCTAACTCTGATAGCCTAACTCTGATAGCCTAACTCTGATAGCCTAACTCTGATAGCCTAACTCTGATAGCCTAACTCTGATAGCGAAACTCTGATAGCCTAACTCTGATAGCCTAACTCTGATAGATTACCTCTGATAGCCTAACTCTGATAGCCTAACTCTGATAGCCTAACTCTGATAGCCTAACTCTGATAGATTACCTCTGATAGCCTAACTCTGATAGCCTAACTCTGATAGCCTAACTCTGATAGATTACCTCTGATAGCCTCTGATAGCCTAACTCTGATAGCCTAACTCTGATAGCCTAACTCTGATAGCCTAACTCTGATAGAATAACTCTGATAGACTAACTCTGATAGCCTAACTCTGATAGACTAACTCTGATAGCCTAACACTCTGATAGCCTAACTCTGATAGCCTAACTCTGATAGCCTAACTCTGATAGCCTAACTCTGATAGCCTAACTGATAGATTACCTCTGATCTGATAGCCTAACTCTGATAGCCTAACTCTGATAGCCTAACTCTGATAGCCTAACTCTGACAGCTTAACTCTGATAGCTTAACTCTGATAGCCTAACTCTTGTAGCCTAACTCTGATAGCTTAAATCTGATAGCCTAACTCTGATAGCTTAACTCTTCTAGCCTAACTCTGATAGCGTACCTCTGATAGCCTAACTATGATAGCTTACCTCTGATAGCCTAACTCTGATAGCCTAACTCTGATAGCCTAACTCTGATAGCCTAACACTGATAGTCTAACTCTGATAGCCTAACTCTGATAGCCTAACTCTGATAGTCTAACTCTGATAGCCTAACTCTGATAGTCTAACTCTGATAGCCTAACTCTGATAGCCTAACTCTGATAGCCTAACTCTGATAGCTCTGATAGCCTCTGATAGCCTAACTCTGATAGCCTAACTCTGATAGCCTAACTCTGATAGCCTAACTCTGATAGCCTAACTCTGATAGCCTAAATCTGATAGCCTAACTCTGATAGAAAAACACTGATAGCCAAAGTCTGATAGCCGAACTCTGATAGCATAACTCTGATAGCCTAACTCTGATAGCCTAACT